TATTTCTAGAGTATAAGAGATGAAGTTTTGTCATCCTTGCCTCCAAGGAGCACTCTAGCTGCATCTTTTCCAAGCCATATCTGTTTGTTCTTTCAGTAGCCTATGGGTTATTCAGTACTCTTCTCCAACACCACAACTCAAAGGCACCAATTCTTCCATCATCCTTATTCATCGTCCAGATCTCAGATGCATAGTAAATAATTGAAAAGACCATGGCCTAAATCAGGTGCACCTTAGTCCTCCAACTGACATCATTACTCTTCAGTATTTTGGTGAAATGCCTGACATCAGATTTGTCTCATGTTTAGAATATGGTAAATGGATGAAATGTATGTGACAGAAAGAGATGGATGAATTAATGGCTCATATAGTCCAATCAGTGAAGGAGAAAAAGACCCTCAAACAGGTGGATTGCCATGGTGACTGCCACAATGAGCTTTTCTGTGTTGGGAAGTGTGAGGATGGCACAGGATAGAGCAGGGTTTAGATATTTTGTTCATAGGGTCACCATGAGTCATATTTAACTTGATGGCACTTAACAACAACAACAACATAGTCCCAGTGGGTACTACATAAGGAAGAATAAACTTAATTTGAAGTTAATTTTAGTGGAAAATCTTTTCTGCAAAAAAGCCTAATAACATTTATGTGAATAACTGAAAAGAACATCTATATGTACAGCCTAATGGGGTTGAAGTAACATTTCTAATTGAGATGATGTATTAACTAAATGGATTTGGGAATTCTAGCCATCTGTTATATTGATGGTTTTTGTCTTGTGTTTAGAAACCAAAAATGATTAAAATAAAAGGACTTGGGTAGATTGAGTCCATAAATAACCTGATGATTATGGATGGGAGGTAGTCAAGGGCTTAGTTAATAATTAATACCTTCCAAATGACTACACGTCAAATTAAAAATATCAGAAAAGACATTACGATTTGTAAAATCTCAAGTGAAGAGAGGGGAAAATAAATGAGGAATAATTCTTTGGGCAATTATAAGAGTCTGGGCAAGTATTAGGAGGTCCCTGAGGTGACAAGCTATAGATATTATCTATCCCTGCACAAGGCTTCATTTACTTATGGGACTGGTTCACGTGATTTAAAGAGTCTTCTACAAGTGGTCTTGGCCCAGAAAATTTTTTGCTACGAAGTCGAAATCTCCTCAATAGTTATACTAATTTAAAGCTTAAAAGCTTTTGCCCAATTAAGAGAGTAAGCTTCAATTATCCTTGAAAGGGGTACAGTTTAGGTGACCCTGAGGCCAAAAGGGGTTTACAATAAGCAATGGAATGAGAGACCACAGGGAATCCCATACCACCATTTTTATTCTTGTTGGGTGCTGTGAGATTGGCTCCCTCTCAGAGCAACTCTGTGTACAATACCACCAGATCCTGCCCTGTCCTCACAGAATCAACTGTGCAAACTCACTGTGGCAGCCACTATATCAATCCATCTCATTGATGAGTTTCCTCTTTTTCTCCTCTCTGTACAGCACCATAGAAGTATGTATCTAGTAGGTACCTTTGCAATTAAAAAACACATTTCACTTCTATTGTCTCATCAGTTTTTACCATCTCCCTATGACATAGGCAAGTTTCAGTCATTTTTATTTCTTATTAATAATTCTTTATTATTATTATTCCTACTTTATGAATAACAAAATTGGGATCTAGAAGATTTAAATGGCATGTCAATGTCACCCAGTTGTAAGTACAGAGCTAGGATATTAACAACAGATTTCTCTCTTGATATCTAGTGGTACATAGTGAGAGATCTCTGGAGCGGGCCTTAAAAACAACAGGCTGCATATTTTCTCTCTGCTGAAGGTGAACAGCTACTCTGAGAACCCAAGATCTCCTCCTACCAGTCTTGTAATACTTCATTCAACAGAGATTAACCTCTGTGATCTCAACACCAGAGAGGGCTTTTGTTTGCCTTAGAGTGTATGTGTGTGGGCAAATACCACACAGCAAAGGTACAATCACTCAACAGTGTAGACCTTAAATCTGAATTTCAGTTTGTCCTTGTAGATTAAGAGCTCTGCCGTAACAGCATTCATTTCTAAATCTCCGTCACATAGTATCTGTGGTTTGCACAAATTGTTTACTGTGGGCAAAGTGTTCCCAAGGGAAAGTAAAACACATAGTAAATAATTGTGAAGTCAAAAAAATTGTGCCCACCTTCTACAGGCAACCTTTACTTTGAGGGCACAGAGCCTTGAACTCAGTTCCTCTCAGACCTCTACCCCTAAAAGAAAAAGCTTGCGTCTTCCTCTCTGTTATTTCCTATCAACACCAACCCAGCCTACCTTGTGTGAGGCTCTAGGACCCAGTAGGGGACATAGACTCTGCAGCATTGAACAAAGCCCAGGATCAGCAAAAATCAATACATTTGGGATATGAGCATAACCAGAGAATGGATGCTCTCAGCAGGTTAGCTGGCTCTAGACACAATTCAGAAGCCAAATCCTAGCATTGGAAAGGAAAAAACCAAACAAGCCCAAAAACAACAACAGAACAACGAACGCCTGCAACAGCATCTGATGGCCTCCTTAAGTCAATTCCCCTGGAGGTGATTAAGAACAGATAATTACACATCCATTGTTCATAGCGTCACTAAGAGTCATAGTCAAGTATTCGGTAATAACATATCAGATAAGGGACTTATATCCAGAATTTATGAAATACTTGAGCACCACAACAAGATAAAGGTAAATAATCCAATAGAAAAATGGGCACAGGATATGAACAGGCATTTCACCGAAGACGACATTCAGATGGCTAACAAACACATGAAGAAATGCTCAAAATCCCTAGCCCTAAGAGAGATGCAAATTAAAACAACTATGAGATATCATCTCACCCCAGTCAAAATAGCAAAATTTAACAGAACAGCAAGCAACAAATGCTGGCGAGGTTGTGGAGAAACTGGAACCCTGATTCACTGTTGGTGGGAGTGTAAAATGGTGCAACCCCTGTGGAAAGCAGTATGGCGCTTTCTCAAAAAGTTGCAAATAGAGATACCATTTGACCCAGCAATTCCACTACTGGGAATATACCCTGAAGAGACCATAGCTGACATCCAAGCAGATATATGCACACCCATGTTTATTGCAGCTTTGTTCACAATAGCAAGGAGTTGGAAACAACCTAAGTGCCCATCAACAAACGAATGGCTAGAGAAGCTGTGGTATATTCGCACAATGGAATACTATGCTGCATTAAAAAACAAGGAACTCATGCAATATGATTCAAAATGGTTGACTCTGGAGAACATTATGCTGAGTGAAATATCCCAGTCACAAAAGGACAAATATTACATGATGCCACTGTTGTAGAATGAGACTGTCCTTGGGGTTGGGGAGAGACTGAGTAAGATGGGTTCAATAATGTATACTGCACTGAAACAGAGGAGGGAGAAAACTGTTTAAAAGAGATATATAACTAGGTATTTCTGTCATCACAGGAGACTAGAGCGAGGGCTACATGGTGGAGGGGACCTGGGGGAGGGTTTGTAAAACAATGAAAGAGTCTTTTACTTTTCCATAATTTCTGGACTCATGTACTTATAACTTGTTAGTCAAATTTGTGTCTTCTAGGTTGCAACACCCCCATGATACATCTTCAAGGATATGAACATGTACGGCCAAGCACAATCAATAAGAGTGCATCTAAATTCCAAAATCAATCTCCATAACAGTCTATATGTTTCCTACTGCCAAAGGGGCCCTTTAGAGTAGTGAGAGAAGATCTTCACCCTGAAACCCACAGCGTCCCTTTTCAGTAGGAAGTAGCTAAGAGAATACGCCATCCCCTTTTCCTTATGACTCAGGGTGAAGTCTCTCTCAGGGAGGAGTGATAGGGAATGGCAAAGGACACACTGACAAAGAAGATTAATCAGAACTGGCTTTGACAAGCACTGTGGCATTTGGACAAGAACAAACTGGGAGGAGGGTAGAGAGAATAGTGCAACAATTAATGAATGGAAACCCAAAATCTCTGTAAATGTTTATGAAAATTAATAAAATATAGAAAAAAAAAGAATAAACCATCTGTTGACAGGCAAAAAAAAAAAAAGAAAGAATAAATTCCTCCTTTGTTCAGTGAGTCAAGGGGGCATGACCTTCCATGTCTCTGCAAAATATTTCCACTAATAAACTCTTTAAGCCTGAAAAAAAAACAAACAAAAAACAAAACAAACCAAAAATCACCGAAGAGGAAAAAGCTAGTGTGTCTATGATGAAGCCAGAAGCTTCATGAGTTGTCTATGTCCCAGGACAAATGTGTAAGCTCAGTGAAATCACATTAGTGAGGCAGCCTGACAAGGTATGCCTGCTATCACTGACATGCAACAAGCATTCATTTTCCTGCTTTTCTTTCCTAATCTTCTGAATTTGATGTAGGTAGCTGTTAATTTTCCTTACCTCAATGTTCCTTCTCATCTTCTCTTAATGTTTCTGGAAGCCATTGGCTTGATAGAAAGTAAGTTGCGAAAAAGTATATCTTCTACCAGCCTGTGATAAAAGGCAGGCAAACAATGGTTTCCATAGCCCCATCTTGCTTACACAATAGATGTTTATGGAACAAATGAATCAAACCCAAGTCCTGGTGTGCAATGCACTGTGTTGCTAACTAAAACATCAATAGTTTGAATCCAACTGTTGTTCCACAGATGATAGATGGGCAGTAATTTCATGTAAAAATTTACATCCTTTAAAAACAGAGCCTGTCAGAGCTGTTCTTACTATATGGTTGCTGTTAAGGAATAATACATATTGTCCCTAACCTCAGTGATCATATTAACCAGTTGCTGTCATGTCAGTTTTGATTAATGTTCAACTCAGGCATACTAGACTAGGACTACATTCCATGGGGTTTTCAATGGCTGACTTTTTGGGGAATTATATCACCAAGTCTTTCTTCTGAGGTCCAAGTGGGTGGATTTGGCCCACCAACTATTAAGTTAGTGTGTCCACTAATCATTTGCACTAACCAGAGTCTCTCAAAGATTTTTATATCCTAAAGAAAGTGAGAGGCACAGAAGTAAGTAGGCAATATTGTAATCATTTTTAGTATGATTTAGGTCTGTGGGTAATTTTTGTTGTTTCTGTTGTTCTTGGTAAACCTCAGCAGCAACAAGGGTCATCTGGGACCCTTACAAAACAGTGTGAACTAAAGAATTGAGCTTGGCTTCTGATTTTCAAATTGCACTTTTTGAAAATCATGGCAGGAGCTAACTGAATCAAGAAAATTTAGAATCTCAAAATGTCCGACTTCTGAGTACCAACAAACAAAGCTAGGCTTTAAATAATGTCAGAGCTCTTCTGTGTGGAGCTCTTCACCAGGGGGAAGCTGAGCTTCCTCGTCTATCTCCTTGAATAAAATGCAGTGAGCTCCATGGTTCCTTAGGACTCCTGTGGATTACTTTTGGCACAAACACAGACAAGCTTGCTCCATTCAACCGGCAAGCCCTTGGCACAGCATGGTATTAGTTGACAGGTTGGACAGACCTCTTGGTGTTGCCTGCAGGGAGCCATATCTGTTGATCAGGCCCTACCACTCTTCACAGCCATGCCAACACCTGTGAATGCCAGGATGGGGCCACCATGTCTCTGTTTCCTAAGAAGCCTAAAGGACCTGAAGAAGCATGACCAGGGATGCAAGATATTTTGGAAAGGAAATCTTGACTTTTTTTAATACACAGCTGGTCTAATGTCTTTCTTGTCTTTCTGATCTTTCAGCTTTTAAGTGGACATTTATGTCATGCCTTTTCATTCAGAACTAAAACTTGGTAAAAGCCTCCACTATTAGATTTATGTTAGGTATGCATGAAGTATTCATCAACCAGCTCTTCCTCAAGTCCAATCACCCAGCAACACCAGCTAGGATTATAGTTAGTCAACAATTCCTCTGTCCCATGCCCTTCTAACTTATAGTTAGAAGGCTTGGTGTCAGAGATTGAGTGATTATATTTCCACAGTACATTGTTGTTCAGCACATTTTGACTCACAGTGACACTATCTGCCTTTCTCACAAAGAAATGGATTTGTGGATGTGAACTGCCAAACTTTTGGCCTGAGACATGATTCCCGTGGCCATTGCATTTACAATTTGTTCTGCTAAAATGAGTAACAGTTTTAAGACACACCAAGTTAACATTGTCCCAATTGTTTGATTTGCTGTGTAACTCCATGATTTCCAACATCAACAGTCCCTCCTTTGTTGAGTTCCCTCACAATTATGTCACTTGGGTTAGATGGTTCACTGGAAGGTGTCCCAGAGACAAACCCATCAGGTGAATGACTTATACAACTGTAGATACGCAGGCTGTTTTTGCAGAGACTGGTGAGTGTGTAAACTATTAGTTGCAGTGTAGCTGAAAAGCAGGCTTCCCCAAAAGAGAGCTGGCATAGAGGTCTCAGGAGCTTAAATAGCCTTTAGTAGGGTAGGTTTTAGGGAGTTCTGGTGGCCTAATGGTAATAAACTACACTGCATTCCTGAAGGTAAGTGGTTCGAATCCAACAATGGCTCTGCGGGAGAAGGATGGGCAATCTCCTCCTGATTAACTGTCTCTGAAAACATGCTGGAGGGTCAGCTATAGAGTAGTTTTGATTCAATGGTATGCAACAACATGGTGGGTCTTGGATCCATCTTAATCCTCTCTCCTTAATCCAATAAATACTTTAGCACAAAATGAAGTTAATCATTGGCAAGAAAAGACATTTTGAATGATAAACATCATAGCTGCTGAGTCTTCGTAGTAAGTAGCATTAGAAAGAATGAACTAGGAATGATTGATTGCATCACAGTTCTGGGAATTAGACACTGTTAGAGAGAATCTGTGCCTCTCCACTCCCTGTTTTTTTTAAAAAAAATATTTGTTGATTATATATGTAATTTTTCTTTGTAATAATCCTGCTTTCCACTGATGAACAGTCTTGCATACAGAAAGGATTACACATGGAAAGAAAATACAACATCTTTGCCAAGTCAACAACTACTTTAGCTTCATCACTAATTAGCCGCCCTTGCTAATTATTTTTTTTTCTCCTCATAAACAACAAGGAAGGGAGTGGAAAGAATGAATATATGACAACATGGAGGTCTAGGATAGGCTTACTTTTCACTTAAAGAGAAAATAAAATCTCTGAGTTCTTGGAACAAAAATCTGTTAATTATAGTCTAGGCTTTTGCAAGAACTAAATTTATAAAACTTTTAAAATTCATTCATTTAGCACTTTAGCCTTCAAACTTCTTTTCGTTCAGATTTTAGATGCTCAATAGCTCTAAGTCTTTGCTAGTCAGAATTATGGTTATTGATTGGCTGCTAAACATAAGTTCCATCACTGCCCCCTCTTCCACAACAAGGTAGGATCAAAGGATGGCTGTGCAGATTGAAATAATTGTCAGCCAGTGTGCTCTGAATAGTTGCTACCTAAACTTCATTTTTGAATACCATTAGTTTTAATGTGGTTTATCTTGCCTGTTGCAGGAAGCCATCATGGAAGAAAATTTGCAGAAAGTGAAACAGGAGTTTATGACTGTTCGCCATGTCTCTGAAGATGGTCGCATACAAATGAAAGAGGTATATTTTAATGACTGTGCCTTTTTTGGGCTGTGATTTCTTCTGCAAGGCAGTGAAAATCTTACATTTGTTTGTGAAATTAGAACATTGGAAGCAGAAGTGGCTTCCACTTCCTAAACCACATGTCTCTGGAAACTCTATAAATGTGGAGCAATGATGATAGTTGTAGAAAGGCTTCAGGATTTTTGTTCATAAGGTTGCTTCGAGCCATGCTCAACTTGATGGCCAACAACAACAATAACCAGGCAGAGTAATAGTTTTGCTATTTGAATTTAATAGTTAAGGGAGCTCTGGTGGCACAGTTGTTAGGGAATTGTGCTAACCCAAAGTAGCTTGGATCCACCAGCGGTTCCTCAGGAGAAAGGTGGACAATCCTTCCCCCTGGAATTTACAGACCTGGAAAGTCAATGAAGGCTCAGCTATGAGTTGATTTCTAATTTGACAGCAATGAAAGAGAGACAAAAAGTGAGATATCTCTCTTTTGTTAGTTGCTGTCCAGTTGCTGTCTATTCGTGGTTACTTCACTTGTGCTCCATAGGTTTTTCAAGGCTACTACTTTTAAAAAACAAACCACCAAGCCTGTGTTCTAAAGCATCTAAGGATGCTCTGGATGAGTTTGAATGGCCAACTCTTCAGCTAGTAGTGGAGCATTTAATTTTTTGCAATTTCATTATTTTTAACATGATCAATTCAGTGACATTTATTGTGTGCATTACAGTGTGCAACCATTGTCTTTAGTAAGTTTTCAAATCACAAAACTGGAACAACAGGAAACATTTACCTTGGTGACCAGTGCAGGAATACATGATATGGGAGCAGTGATATTTAGCAGTGGAATTCTCACCTTCCATGTAAGAGACTTCATTTGATTCCCAGCTAATAAACTTAGTGTATACCACCTGTCTGGAAGTGGAGGGGTATATGTGCCCATGATGCTGAACATCAAATAAAAAAGAGGAGGTGAATATTTACATAACATTTTGAAATAGTTATCTCTTCATTTTATATATTAATAGTCATCTCTCTTTAACAATCTGTTTAGTAACAAAGAATGTACAGTTTTCAATAATTTTATTTAGATTAATCATTATTTTACATTCATTTACCTATTTTATATTTAAAGAAGTGCAAAGATTTCAGCAATTTTTTGATATAATTGTCTCTTTACACAATGTTATGTTCAAGTTGAACCTAATCCAAAACCAAATTTACTGCTATTGAGTCATTTCTATCTCATAACGAATCTGCAGATATGAGGGAAAACTGACAGCAAAGAGTGCTGTTGTTGTTGTTGTTGTTATGTGCCCTTGAGTTGCCTGCAACCCATAGTGATCCATGTACAGCATCTCTGACCCCTGCCATGTCCTGAGCCAGTCTCACTAATTAGCCCCAGAAGAAGTTGGAAAGTTCTGCTTCTAGAACTTATTAAGAGATTAAAGCAATTATTATTATTTAGATTGTAAGTTCAAAGGAGGCAGATACTGTAGTGCTTCATATCTACTGGCAGTGTAATACTGTTTGATAGAGTCAATGAGTCAAAGAATGGAAATGAAGGATACATAACTACCAGCTGGTCTCTCCATCCCAAGAGATCTTAGCCATTCTGCACTATAGCATGCCCTACAGTGTCTTTTATCCACAAATCTCTCCTTAAATGGGCACTGGCAACATTCAGCAGCTACTATTATTTCTCATTGCTTTAGCTTGCCAGAATGTTCTTGTCTGAGGATGAAAACTTTCTTCTGCTCTTTCGCCGGGAAACACCCTTGGACAGCAGTGTGGAGTTTATGCAGGTGAGTGATTGAATTTTGAGACAAGGCTGGGCTCTGCCTACTTGCTTTGTCTATCATCCTTCCTGTCCCCTCTCTAAAGCCAGGGGAAAAAACCCTTAGTGATAAATTAGATGTTATTCTAAAATCTGGGGGCTTTCTCAATGTGCTCAACTTGAGCTGCTAAACACTTTCCCTAAGCTTGGAAAAATATCCTGACTTCGATGGGAAATTCAACAGGTACACTGAGGAACAGAGAGGCTTGAAGGTAGGGAAAGGTGCTCTGGAACCTAGAGAACACATATTTCATTTAAAGCCTGTGGCTCTGTGATGAACTGTTGCCTTGAGGGAGGGTGGATTGAAATCTATAGGATGCTACCTACTTTTAAAAGTTAGCAACTAATTCTAAAAGTATGATGCAGTCAAGACAATTTACTTGAATGTTGATTCAGCCATCCGGTCTTATGTTTATACTGGGCTTGACTAAAAGCCACATGAAAGAATGAACTTCTGAGCCTTTTCACTCTGAGTCATCCCTAAATGTTGTGGTTTTTCTGATTTAAAAAAAAAAAATAAAAAAGACCAAAGAAGAGCAGATCAAGGTTTCTTTCAAGCTCCAAGAGCAGAGCAAAGACAGTCATTACATCCAGGGCCCCATTCCTTAAACAGGTACCAAATGTGCTTGTTGGTATTGTTAGGCTCCGTAGAGTCGAGTATGATTTACAGTGACCTATAAACAACAGATCTGAACCCTGTCCTGTCCTGTGCCGTCCTCACAATTTCTGACACCCTCAAACCACTTGTGGTAGTTATTGTGTCAATTCACTTGGTTGAGGGTCTTCCTCTCCTTCACCATACCGCCACCTTCCCAAGCATGATGTCCCTTTTTGTTGTTGTTGAGTATCATTGCATTGGAACCAACTCATAACTGACCCTCTAATGGGTTTTCAGAGTTAGTTAATTGCAGGTGAGAAGGTTACTCATCTTTCTCCCATGGAGCAGCTGATGGATTAGAACCATGTGCCTTTGGTTCTTGCAATTAGACCATCAAATTTCCCCATGATGTCCCTTATGAAACAATATAACTTTACATTCCCAAAGAATATAATGCCATTAAAGATAAAACTTAGTAGTATAGTTTTTATTTATTTAATTTAATTACATGGAATAAATATAATATAATAACTACAGTAAATAACTATAATAACATAATAACTATAATAAATATAACAACTATAATTAATATTATAATATAATATAATTAATAGAATAGAATAGAAATGATAATGAATAGAATAGAATAGAAAGATAATATTTGTTATTGTTGTTATGAGTCCTAAACCCTGTTCTATCCTGTGCCAATCGCAGTGTCTCTGACACACCCATCCCGATTACCCCAATCACAGAATCAATCCACCTCATAGAGGGTCTTCCCCTCCTGCGCTGTCCCTCCACCCTCCCAAGCATGATGTCCCTCTCCAAGGACCTGTCCCTCCTGACAACATGTCCAAAGTATGTCAGACGAAGCCCCAGAATCCTTGCCTCCAAGGAGCAACCTGGTTTAACCCTCTCCAAGATGAATCTGTTTGTTTTCTTAGCAGCAGCCCATAGTACAGTCAATATTCTTCTCCAGCACCACAGCTCAAAGACATCAATTCTCCTTCTATCCTCCCTAGTCATTGTCCAATTCTCTGATAAAACAAGTAATTGCATGCTGTAGAATAATAATTTTAACTTTGTGTAAAAAAAATAGCATTCCTCTATAAATTGCCCCTCAAAAAACCCAATGTACTAGAAAAAAATATTCTTTTTAAGTAGCAGAATGTCAAGTATTTGTTCTTTTTGCGTGTGCCATTATGTGTATGAGATATTAAAATTTAGAAGTTATTTTAAGTAATTTTAATTATGTTCCAAATTGCTCACAGAAAAATTTGAGAGTAGACAATCAAAACAAATAAACAATCTATTCTATCAATTTTTTTTACATATAAAACAAAGATAATGGAAATGAGACAATTAGAAACAGTAAATGATTATCACTGGGGAAGGACTTTCTAGAAATGATATTTTGTATCTTTTTATCTTTTCCCACATTTTTTAAAACAATGCTATCTTTTACTTTTATAATTAGTAAAAGTTATTAAATCATAACAACATTCTTGTTATTAGATGCCATTGAGGCAACTCTGACACATATTAAGCCTATGAGCAATACATCTGAATCATTTAAGATAAAGAACCATTATGATATTACCATAAATAAAAAGAAACAAGAAACATAATGATTGTTTTTAAATGGTAGGTAGCATGTAAGTAGTAATATTGACATTACCAGAGAGCTCTGGTGGCCTAGTGGTAAGAAGTTGCATTGAAATCCCAAAGGTGGTTGTTATGTGCCGTCAAGTGGCCTGTAACTCCTAGAGACCCTATGTACAACAGCCCTAACCCCTGCTCTGTCCTGTGTCAGTCTCACTTTCTCCAACACCTTCACCCCCCACTACTTTAGTCACTGAATCGATCCACCTTATGGAGGGTCCTCTTCTCCTGCGCTGTCCCTCCACCCTCCCAAGCATGGTGTCCCTCTCCAAGGACTGGTCCCTCCTTGCAGCATGTCCAAAGTATGTCAGATGGAGCTTCAGAATCGTTGCCTTCAATGTACATAGCTCAAACTCACCAGTGGCTCTGAGGAAGAAGGATGGGCAATTTCTTCCCATGTGATTTACTGCCTATGAAAACCCACTGGAGGGTGAGCTATGGGTTGATTCCAACCACATGACACAAAACAAAAACAACAACATTGACATTATCACAAATCAAACAAACAAGAAAAGTAATGATTGTTTTTAAATAATAATATTTAAATGGTAGCATTAAAGTAGTTTTATTTTCTTTGTTCTTTATCTTTCCCAGTTGTGAGCAGAATTATTTTTAAAAGTTATTTTAAATAACATTCTCAAAGTTGTTTAAATCATGTCTTAAAATACAGCAAATCTTGAATGGAAAGTGTAAATAGACTATTCAAAGATACAAAACAAAATGGTCCAAAATATTATTTTGTTGCATGTAGCAGAGAAATGATGGAAAGGATCTGATAGCAACTATAAGTGATTTTCTCTGTGGAAAGAATTTCTAGATGTTATGATTTTTCCAAATATTTTGTCCTAAATACTTTAAACATGAAAGGATTGTTGGTTCTTGTGTATTTCAGATTTGGCGCAAATATGATGCCGACAGCAGTGGCTTTATATCAGCTGCTGAGCTTCGAGTAAGTGTCATTTGGAACTGTTTGTTTCAGGGCTAAGAGATTGTTTATCACAGCGACTTTGATGCATGTGTGTATCATGAGTTTAGTTTCTATCGGCCCAAGAAACTTGGATTTGAAATGTTTACTTTTTATAAAACATATTCATGTTTTAGAAATTTCAGTAAGTGCAGATGACATTATTCTCTCTGAGAGTGACACCGTTGAAGTTTATGATATGTTTTTTAATGCCTAGTACTACTCTCTAGGTTTTAAGAGCTCCCTTCAGTTATAATCCTCCAATGGATTTATTGCTTGCTAACACATTCTATGTCCCCATTAAAAAGAATAAACCACCAATTCTTAAAGTTTCTTGAGAGTTTTAGCTTATTCTATCACTATTTAAATGATGACTCTCTTTTTGATGTCATAGAATTTCCTTCAAGACCTCTTCTTCCACCACAAAAAGGCTATTTCAGAGGCTAAACTGGATGAATACACTGGTACCATGGTAAGTAGCTCTGATGAGTATAACGCCCATGAGAAAAGCTTCCTCGATGTCTCCCCAGAGCCCAGACACAGTGTCTGGCATGAAGTAGGTGCACAAGAACAATTTTCAGACTAAGTAAAATTGGTGAGAATATTTAACTTTGGAAAACTGGCTAAAATGTAACTACTTCAGTTTCTTTTTTGAGGCCAGACTGTACATATCTGGAAAAGAAGACTGTTTTTCTGTCCTAGAGGAGACATGGAAAGTCCAGTCAATATTAGGTTAATCAGCAACAGGTCAACAGAGATATATATACATATTTACACATATACATATATATACACATATATACTATATATGCATATGTATATATATATACTGTGACACTGATGTGTCAAACACCATCATAATGGTTAGCTATGGTGGACAGTGTTTGGTAGAGCTTCCAGATTAAGATGGGCTTGGAAGGAGTGACATCCACTTCCTAAATAGCATGCTCCAGAAACTTTATGAACTTAGAGAAATGATGATAGCTATATAACAGGGTTCAGGTCTTTTGTTCATAGGGTCACTATGAGTAACCCTTGACTTGATGGCACTTAACAACAGGGGTGGGTGTGTGTACACAGAAGAAAGAAAATACAGACTTAAACAATCACAGCCAGGTATGGAAGCTACCTCTCAGCACAGTGAGTATGTTGTAGTGCATTGAGAGTCAAACAGATCAGAGAAGTGTGTATGTTCACCTCTGAAATTTACAAGCTGAGACCTTGGGAAATTGTCATGTTTCTCTGCTTTATTTGCTTCATGTCTATCTCTCTTTTTTGGTTGATTTTGACTCATAGCAACTTCTTACGTGTCAGTAGAAATGTGCCCCGTAGAGTTAACAACAGTTGATTTTTCAAAATTATATTACTAGGATTCTCTTCCATGGCACCTCTGGGTAGACTTGAACCTCCAACCTTTCAAGCATGTTAATTGTTGGTACTACTCAGGGGCTCAAAAATTAAGGTTGAATTGTAATTAAAGTGGTTCTATCTCATGGGGACTGTATGTATGCAGAATGGAATTGCTTCATAGGCTTTTGGAGACTGGCCTTTCAGAAATAGATTTTGGTTCTCTGCTCCTGGTTGATCAACACATTGCCCTCTCTTTTTGTTCAATGTCCGCCATGTCCCTGAAACATAATGTTGAAGGTGGGAGTAAACTCATTTGGCTGCACTGGATGCCAGTCACCAGGGCTGCCTTTAAAAGTGGATGTTGTAGCCATTAATGACCCCTTTATTCATCTCAACTGTGTGGGCGATATGTTCCAGTATAATTCCACCCATGGCAAACTCAATGGAACTGTCAAGGCTGAAAATAGGAAGCTGGTCATCAATGGGAAAGCCATCACTATCTTCCAGGAGTGAGATCCTGTCAACATCAAGTGGGTTGCTGTTGGTACTGAATATGTTGTGGAGTCCACTGTGTCTTCACAACCTTGGAAAAGGCTGAGGCTCACTTGAAGGGTGGTGCCAAACTGATAATTATCACTACTCCTTGTTTGTGATCAGCATGAATCATGAGAAGTATGACAGTTCTTTCAAGATTGTCAGGAATGCCACCTGCACCACCAACTTATTGGCTCCCCTGGCCAAGGTCATTCATGACAACTTTAGCAATGTAGAGGGACTTAGGACCACAGTCCATGCCATCACTTCCACCTAGAAGGCTGTGGGTGACCCCTCTGGAAAGCTGGGGTGTGATCACTGTGGAACTGTCCAGGTTATTATTGCCTTATCTACTGGTGCTGCCAAGGCTTTCTGTGTCCCCACCCTCAATGTGTCAGTCATGGAACTGAACTGTTGTCTAGTGAAAGCTTCCAAATATTATGGCATCAAAAAAGTAGTAAAGCAGGCATCAAAAGGGCTCCTTAAGGGCATCCTGGGATTCACTGGAGACCAGGTTGTATCCTGTAATTTTAACAGTGACACTACTCTTCCACCATTTATGCTGGAGCTGGCATTGCCCTGAACAACCATTTTGTCAAACCAATTTCCTGGTGTGACAATGAGTTTGGCTATAACAACTGGGTGGTCAACCTGATAGTTCACATGGCTTCCAAAGAATAAGAGCCCCTTGGATCACCAGCACCAGCAATAGCACCAAGAGAGAGAGTGTGAGCGCACAACTGCAAGAGTGCTTCAGCTGCTAAGGAGTCCTTTCGCAAACTTGATCCCCCTACACTCTGAGAATCTCACATCCTTGACAGTTTCCATCCAGTCCTCCTGGTGGGGGTGGGGTGGAAGAGAAATCGATTTCTAGGCCTGACTTCTGCGGCATCTCTGAGTAGGTTTGAGTGGATAATTTATTAGTAATTGAGTACTCAACCATTTGTGCCACTGAAGGCTTTCTAAAATGTGGCTAAAAACTATCATTGCAGGGCAATGTGAGTTGGTGCATATGGAACACTTTGAATAGTGTCTAGAATACAACCAGTAGTGAAGACATATTGTAGTTATTGTGGCCCTGGTTATTATTTCACTTTTCGCTTGTGGCAGTCACATTTCAAAATACTCCTGAGACTATTTCAGCATTATGACCCCCTGTTATGATGGTATAGATGATGAGGTCTTCAATGAACTCATCCTCATATTTGGTTTCAGTATTTAATTTCATGCATTTGCCCTCAGTACTTATCTACAGTCTGAACTGTATAAAATCTGGTCCCTTCACATTTTTTGCCTAACTTCCCCATCACCCCATCTGCTCCAATTCTCAGGTGTTTGTTTTTTTCTAAAATTAATATTTACATTGTGATCTAGACAATTTTTACTTACATTATAATTTATGCATTTACATTGTGGGTTGCTTTCCCAGTCATCTTACTAATAACTACATTTGCAAAAGTGTGTAAGCCAGCCACTTCATGCTTATATGCCTTAATATCCTCATTATAGATAGCCAATTTTTGGTTTGCCCATCCCTATAAAACCTATACTCTGAGGGAACAAGTGTACCCCATTTGCTAAAGAATCCTCTCAACAACTGGAAACTTTGCACATCTACGTTCACAAGCAAAGTCCAGTCCAGATAAGCAATCAGGTTGCAACAATCAACCCTCCTCACAACATGGATCATCTTTTCTTTGTCTGGTTAGGTTCTGGTCAACTCACCCCCAACCATGTGTAGCTAGGTTCAAATCAGCATCAGCTGCAAATTTAGGAGTCCACACTTCTGTGTTTCAGACCTGTTGATCCCTTTCTCAGCCCTAGCTTCCACATGGAGTCAAGTCAAAAAAACAGGGGTCTTCATGACTCTCTGGCCCTCAAGCCAACTTCCCTGATTACCCATGTCTATGTATGCTAGGTGGACAGTGCTGGAGGAAGCTCAGCATATTTCTCTATTGTTGTACTCCTCCCATTTCCACTTCTGTTTATCTTGGTGATGACTTTTTTCCTTTTTTCTATTTCCTTCTCTCTTTTGCTGCCTTTTTTTCAAATGTGAAACTTTTTGATCAAAAGTCCAAGGAGGGTCTACAAATCCATTTACATGTAAATCTTCTCAGAGTACTGAGTGGAACTTAATCTTTCCTCTCTATCAAGCCTCAACACCCACTATCAGATCCAACTTTCAACAAGCTTATCTCCAGGGCAGATCACTTTCTTATGAAGAAAACATAAGACTCATGTGGGATAACATCAAATGAAATGACTTGTGTATATATAGTCAAAATTTTAGGACAAAAGGGGAAGGAGTAAAGGACTCCCTTATAAGAGGAAATTATTGAAGAAGTGCTAGAACATACCTTCCCAGGTATGAAAAATAAGAAAAAAAAATTAGAAAACCCCAAAGAGACAAGACCCCAAAAGAAATATATCAAGAGATAATATAGTCAAATTATCCAAAATCAAAGATAATGAGAGAATACTAAAAATACTGAGAGAAAAGCAGTCAACTACAAAAGAGAATCAAGTAGACTAAGTATTGCAGCAGAAAACATAGCAGAAAGCAATCAAATGGTGTATATGTTGTTGTTGTTATGTACCGTCGAGTTGTTTGTGACTCATAGTGACCCTTTGTACAACAGCCCTAAACCCTGCTCTATCCTGTGCCAATCGCACTGCCTCTGAAACACCCATCCCGATTACCCCAGTCATGGAATCAATCCATCTCATAGAAGGTCTTCCCCTCTTGCGCCGTCCCTCCACCCTCCCAAGCATGTTGTCCCTCTCCAAGGAACTGTCCTTCCTTGCAACATGCCCAAAATATGTCAGACAAAGCCCTAGAATCCTTGCCTCCAAGGAGTTGCTTGGTTTAATCCTCTCCAGGATGAATCTGTTT